CTGTGAGTCGTAACCGACTGGACAGCAGTGAGTTTGGTTTTTTTGTTTCCTCCTTTTGTTGCCGGGAACTCTGAGTTCTGCTCAGCATGACTCCATCCAAAGCCAGAAAGATAGAGACTGAGTAGAGGAGTGAGAAAGACATTTTCATTTTGTTGGCCAAGGAGACAGTCAGGGCTAGTATCCGCCGAGACTGCTTGGGATGGTGTTGAGGGAAGCTGTTTTTATAGGGTTTACAAACATGCAATGACATCGTTACATTCTTAAACATGCTACGTAGGCATAGTGACTACTGATTACATCACACATAAACACATAAACACATGAACAGAAAATGGTGGCCAGTTCTACCCGGAGGTGGAGAAGTTAATGTGCATGAGGCTTCTTAGGAGCTAATGTTAACTCCAAGTCACACAGACTGGCCTGCACTGGCCGCTGGACAGCTGGTTATCAGAAGTGCATATTCTGACTCAAAGCTGGCAGGTCACCACGTGATCAGGCCAGATAAGGAAATGGAGTGGTTTGACCACTGTCCCACTTTTGTTTTCCAGGAAAAATTGAACCAACATCCTTTGTAAAGCTGGTTCTTCTGGCAATTTTAATTTCATTCCCCATTTCTGAGTGAATACAACTCATTCCAGAGTGACATTCTCCCTGTACCTTCCATTTCACTCCTTCTATTCTGTAAAGTACCGATTTGGAGATGGGAGTTGTGTAAAGAAAGGAAATAATTTTGGCATCACTTTGTTATTTTATTTCACCACCACAAAGCCTTGAGGTCCTTGGTGGTAGTTGGGTTTTATTGTAGGTGTTAAAAAGAATTCTCAGTGATGACTTGACTGGGTTGTTTTGAAAACTTTAGAATTCAAAGCCTGTACTAATTTAATGTAAAGAAAGACAGGAGAGAATATTCTCTCTGGCTGGGTGAATTCTTGACGAATGGCATTAAGAACCCAAAAGGATAATGAGGCTGATTGCTTTATTGGCATATAATGAAAACTAAAATCTATTCTTTGGTGACCTTCACCCTGTGACCTTGTGGTGTGTTTATT